ATGTAGAGTAAAACAATAAAATAAACTCGGTGGACTAATTTGGCATGATGTCCTGAGACGTTGCAGCTGATAGGAGTCAAAAAACAGACCGGGGGAAAGCCCTGACGCCCCTATAGATAAATGTGTTAAATGAGTGTAGGAAAATATGAGCACCAAGCAACAACCCTAGGTTCTCCCCTGAGAAACAGACCAAAACTATTTGTGCAACCCTGCTTATAAGCACTGCCTCCACATGGACAAACATGTTAGTCACATGCAAAAGAAGGTCATTGCCTAACAATAGGCTTGATTAGCTCTATTCATAGAGGGTCATGTGCCCCATCACCTGACTTATTGGTTTGGATGCTTCGGCTGTGGTTATTTGGTGTTTTGTTATATGTATGTAGTGAGTGCAAGCGGGGTTCAACATCCCCTTGTTTTTGTCTCTCTTTCCCTATTTGTGTTGGGTATCGTTGGGGCCCTGATTCACACCTTTTTACTCACAGGGGGCTGAATCATACTTGCAATAACAGAGGAGAGACGAAACATTTCACTAAAGAAGAACCCATCCAGAGGACCTACTTATTTTTTCTTTTTGATTTTTTCTACCTGGATTACTGAGATGCATCAGGACATAGTATCTGATCTGTTCTGAAAAACTAATTTAATGCTCTGGACAGCACACACACCTCTGTGTTGTCTCCCTCACTCTTTACAATGGTCCGTTTCACCACTTTGGAGTACCCGCCTCCGTCCGACCCCTGAGGACCTCCTTCTGCTGACATATCTTCACGCTCATTACCATCCGCTGAAATACACTTACGGATAACTTTTCGTGTAACCTGTGCAAGACAAAAACATGTTCGCATATTATTTAGACATGTAATGTATGTTGTTAATTATAGTTTCTAGAGAGAAATTTGGATTTGTTTTAAAAGCATATACAGTTTAGCTTTACCCTTTTGACAACTATGTGTCCATTTTCATCTCTGTATCTCTCCTCAGTCACTGACTGATTAGGGAGGTCGAGCATTTCATCAGCCTGTATAAAAAATAAAAATAGAAGGAACAATAATGAGAAATGACCATTTGAGTTAAGATGTTCATGTGTTTTATACACTGCATCACATGTTAGAGTGAAAACACCACACAAAACATTACACTGTTTATTTGTCATGGAAAAAGGGAGTTTGGGGAAACGGCAAAACAACTTTAAGGGTCATGTTGTGAAATAAATCAGCAAAGACATGCTCACAGCATCATAAAAACACCTCCGCCAGCTTCAGCCATCTCTGCATCTAAATGTTCGGTTATGTCCTAAAACATACATTTTCACTCCAACTTTATTAGACCTTGTTTAAACCAGAACACCATCAGCCGTGCTACGTTCAATACCTTAATGACAATTCTCCTTCGTATTACTCTGGTGGTCAAAAACTCATCATCTGAACTTTCTGATAATGATCCAAGCTCTTTGGCGATCTCCTGACCAACACAAACTCATTCAGACATATGTGACATATATGAATGGTATGTTGGTAGCAAAGCAAAGCGTTGAACAGGGTGAAATGCTGAACTTTCCAGTACATCAGATGTACACTGGAAAGTACAACATGGCAGTCTGTAACTTGAAAAAGCATTTAGAAACAAAATGACATTTGAAAAACAAAAGGCGTGTTGCTCATATCATCCACGGGTACTGTGAAATGCAAGCAGCAAAGTGACATGCTCAGTATGGGTTGGTTAAAATCTTGAAAAAAGAAGGGTTATAACAAGATATGGATCTGATTCAATTGGGCAAAGGGTTAGCATCATTCTTTTTTGAAGCAAAAATATTGTGTTAGTGCTCAGCTCTGAAGGATAAAAAATAACTTGCAGGATTTTACAAAGTCTCGTCTTACCCTCCTGAAAGATTTAACAGTTTCATGTGTTCCAGGAAGTTGTGAAGTGCTACACATGGTGAATTCTTCTTCTGATGTCTCTGAGTAATGCTGCGATTCTTCACTCTCTTCTTGTACAGGACGATGAGACTCAAGAAGTAAAGGAGCATCTTCATAATCCTCACTTCCAGAAGACAACAGTACTTTCTGATTTGACTTTTCCTTTGCTCCGAGGTGGCTGCGCTGATCCTGGGCCTGACTTGAACTGGTGGTTGTCTCGGGTCCATTAAGCTCAGGCTCGAAGAAATCAGACATTCCTTGTTTGCAGTCAAAGTAAGGCTCTGGGTCAGAATATTCTAAATCTGGACTGTCTGCTCCATTCTGTCTTGCCCCTAAAGGTGTGTGGACGTCTGACTCAGAGGTCGTTCCTGCACCCCTAAGCGGGATGCCATACTCCTCATCAGAAGCTGATGAAGTCAGATCACTTTTTAGCTGAGAGGCAACACACTGGTCGTCAACTGGAGTCAGTTTCTCTTCAGAATACTGTTTACAGAACTGTGGTCTATCTTTATCTGATGAGTTCTCCAAACTCTGAGAGGAGTGGTATGGTATCAACTCTTCGAAGCTGAGATGTTTTGCAGATTCAACTATCTCAGGAGTGAAGCCAGACACAGACTGAGAGGAAATTGTCTCAGTGAAGGTTTTGCTGTTTAGAAGTTGATCTTGGTTGTTCTCTCTAGATGTTTCTTCAGTCATATCCATTGAGTCATCCAGTTGTGAGGATAAACATGGTTCCTTTTGGTCTACATGAGTGCTACTTGTAAAATCTTCCCCACAAGGAGTTGCCTGCTTTGTCTCATGTGTGTCAGATACTAAAAGAAATGTTTCAGCACTAATCTCAGCCTTTGCGTAGGACTGGATCATGCCAGAGTTTTGTGATGTTTCCTTTTCTTCAGTTAATGTCTGAGAAGTTTTAGGGACTGAAAAAGATTCAGTAGGGCTCATGATGCTTACATAACTTTTTTTATGGCTATCAAGGTTTGACTCCAATGTTCTTGTTACGTCAGGAGTGCCTTCTATATTCGACCAGCTGACCCGGGTGCTGCTATCACAGTTTTCTGTAGGAGACTGATCTTCCGGTGAAAGTTCATCATACATATATGCTTTCTCATCTTCAGAGCTCTCACTGGAGGACTCTGACAGAGGTGAGTCAAGTGTCTCTGGTCTAAACTTGAGTTTCATCTCCTTCAGATCTGTCAGAAGTTGGTCCAGCTCGGGAGAACCAGATCCTGGTGGTGGTGGAGTGGAGTTTGAATAATTTCTGGAGAGGACACTTGAACCTTCTTCTAGTTCTGGAACCATATCATGGCATTCAGTCATTTCAGAGCTCTCATTTTGCTCGGGTAATGTGAGTTTTTCCTGTTTTGCCTGTGGTGAACCCCTTTGATGTCTCAAACTGAAGTCACATTGTGTGGTAATTGGGTCCAAGGTAGCTGGAACAATTAGTTTTAGTTTTGCAGAGGAAAGTTTGTTTAAATCTTGTGCCATGACTGGTGTCTCAGTTTGAAAGCCCTGACTTTGTCCTAAATCAACATTTTTCTCTTGTGAGGATTGTGAAAGATTTGTCTTGAATGACGCAGATGACATCTGAAAAAAAAAAACAATGATACAATGGAGTGGGGAAAAAATGCAAATAAACATAACTCATGGTGTCTTTGATGATAACATGAAGAATTAAATGAAACATGCTTTTGCCATGAAAACAATCAATGTTTTAAAGACAAGAACATTGTGTTTTAAAAATTATTTGAAGCCCACATGCACATTTCAGGACTATTAGGACATTATTAAAATATTAAGGTAGTTGACAAAGGAATGAAATAATGAAAAGTCTTGATTTCACTGTTGAGAAAATCAGGTGGCTTAGTTTGCCTTTGAGGACTTTTTGCTGACATGTTTGGGTCCGCTTAGACTGTTGAGGCCAAAAATAGCAAATTTAACTGGTAATATTATTTTTTCTTCAGCTTTAAATTCTTGACTCCATTGTTTATTAACAAACAACCAACAACATTAATGACAAGCCAACCAGAGGTCACAGAATTCTTTTGACCAACAACACTTTTCAGGAAGAAAAAGTAAACTAAGAAGGGAAAACACTTCTAAAGGGCATTTAGCCTTTGATGGGATCTCTATTCTGATGGAGGTGGTAGGTGACGGCAAGGTGGTATATTTCTAAATGATAAAGAGGCTCTGATTCAAATGAAATGTAACATGCACCATATGTAATATTTTGCACCAACATTTTAAACAGGACACCTGATAAAATTCTAAAATACAGTAAAAAAGAATGACGTTAAATCTTTCTAAGTTAGTGTTATTGACCTGTAAGTTTAAGTGAAACTCACATAACCGATACAGCTTGTAATGTTGGGTCCCCAACAAGGATTTAGCAGCTCAAATGGAACAGGGAGTATTTTATGCAGATAAACTATTAAATCATCACATTTAATTTGGCAACTAACTGGAACATAGCTAATAAACACATTTTTTATCTGTAAAAATATGTCTGGATAACTGTTTGTTTAAAAATAATGTGACAATGTGCCTTACAAACAGGAGCGACCAAGACAAGCAGCACATCATACTTCTATCTGTGGGAAATGTAAACTTTTGTGGAGTGCTATGTAACTAGATACATTGATTATTTACTAAAGACAAAGCTGAATAATTAGGCGCACATCACTAAAATAGGGTCATGATGATGTCCATTAGTTTGGCTGCACAGGTGGCTCTTGTCTGCTTTAATGCCAACATGCAACAGCAAGACAGTAAAGCCTTTGTTTGTTAGATGCCTGGAAAGAACCTGTAACAATCACACCTTCTACAGTACTGTGAAAAAGAATTTTAACAGCTTCAATTTTGTTTCACTTTGCTACCAAAGTGCCAAACTTTGTTTTAAAGTGGTTTTGCTCAACAGTGGTCCAGACTTCCTGAAAGGCTTTAAAAGGTTTCATTTAGACATATTTTTTTCTCACTTTTTTATCAGTTATAGAATAAAAAAAATCAGAAAATATTTTTTGAAAGATCTACAGAAAGCTTAAGGAATTATTGCTAAAGACTATTTAAAAAAAACCAGTATGGCTCATTGTAAACAAAATTTAATGCATAAATGATCCTTCCATCCTTTAGCTGCTCCCTTCTGAAGGGATTGCCACAGTGAGTGGACTTGTACAGAAGATTTAACAAATGTTTTATGCTGGATGCCCTTCCTGTTGCAACCTGGGCTCAAACCTGTTTTGTGACTCAGGACTTTTGCACAGTACTGTATGTTGCCATGTTCTTTGAAAGCTTTGAAGCCAACACTGCACTCATGAACAAGAAAGAGCTTGTGCTGTCTTACCGACACCAAGGGATCGTTTTGTTGTCCATGAACATGGATTTTCTTCAGTGAAAAGGTATTGGACAGTTGTCATCTTTATTGAAAATTTGGCACTGTCCATTTCTAGTTCATATCCCAATGTCTTTTTTCTGAAATATTTCATTTCATATAGTAGTTTTGTACAGCATGTTTAACTAAACAGCATAGGAAAACTATAATTTGCTTTTTCTGCATGGTTTGTGACTCAACTCACTAAAAATGTGATCACTAAAGTGTGCTTTCATCTGATTTATTATTAAACTATGTCTGTCTAAGAAGTTAAATAATAATAAAAAAACTACTCAGTGTTTGAGAAATGAGCTATGGACCCTTTTTTAGCTGAGTCATTTGGTGCCATCAGTTTCAGAATACATACTTTTGTGAGTGTTTTACAATCATAACAAGGTTTTCTCTAAAGGTGACTAGCCTGTTAAAAACAAGAATAAATATTTGCCACAAGTTTAAAAGAACAGACTTACTTTTTCATCTAGAACACATAAAATACAATTTAATAACTGCCTCCTAAAAGACAATGTCTGATAGAGCTGCAACACCAATTTAACACTTCAAATAACTAATGCCAAAAAGAACACAAACTAAACTATTTATCCCAAATCTACTTCTTCAGTAACATTTTTTTCAATCCGAAATCTAAAACAATTGTCAATTATATATATATATATATATATATATATGATAATATTGTGTTTGTGATCACAAACTTGTTTAAATGTTTCAAGCAGGTCAATTCTTGAGTTATTCTGCTTTGTTGTTCAAAGATTATATGCAAAGATTTATTATTATTATTAATATCAGAGTTGGTCATAATAAGGATGCATTTCCTTTAGAAAATCTTGTTTGGTTTAAGAATTGAACAGTGTCAAAATGTAATAATTTTCTGTCCTAAGCTCTTGGAGAAGGAGATCAGCTTGTAAGTTTGTGTTTTCCAAGGTAAACACTAAATAAACATCTGCATCCTGGAACTAGGTAAAAATTTTCATTTGTTATTTTGACACATATTTTCCACACAACCTAAATTTAGAATGAAAAGGTTGAGTTAAAAATGATGTTTTTGTGTCTACATATTATAC